TGCTTCACAAAATAACAAAAAGGTAGGAAAGAAAGGATCTCAAACAGCAACGTGCTTAAAATATTTTTTCTCCCTAACATTGGTTGAACAATCATTTCTTAGAATTCGTGGCAGATCAAAACTTTACCACCTAGTTAATAACTTTTCCTTCTCGTCACGAGTCTGTTTAAAGATGGATCGATTGGTTCGGAGAAATTTTAGCTCATCGCTGAAAGAGATAAACATATATCTTGATCTACGAACCTTCTCCGTTAGATTCCATTCTTGAAGCAGTGTTAACTGTATCACCAAACAGACAGTAACGAGGCATTTTCAAGCCAACAACGCCTGCACATACGGGACCTTGAACATAAAGATGACACACCACTTCTTTCAGTTTAAACTGAATACTTCACAAGTGAAGACTACAGCGAACATGAACTCACCGCTATGGATGCCAATTCTCAGCTTTAGCTTCTCGTCAGGACGGTGCCGTATTTTAAACTTCTCCACAGATTGCAGAAGATGAAGCGCCATGCATGCTATTTCCTCGGCGTGTTGATGCCCGTTTCTGATTGGTAGACCAGAGACTACCATGTATGCGTCGCCAATCGTCTCAACCTTGGAGTGAAATCAAAGTCATTTGAAATGGGTTCGTTGTTTCGTTTAGAAGAACAGAAATAGGAAACTATTGTGATTTAAAATCAAATAGCAACTTCATTAGAAATAAAGACCTTATAAACATCATATCCCTGAAGTATAGCATCAAACGTGGTATAGAGGTCATTCAGCAAAGTCACAATCTGCAAGTTAAAAAAAAAGATAATAGAAAAATGAAAAGCGGGAAATGAAAACTTACGAGCTATTTAGTATTAGAAAAGAACAAGAGAACGCAAAAATTGTTAGTAATAATCATCGGTCAGACGGTCCACGGTTTAGCACATTGTAGGATCTGGTTGGGTACAGCGCTAGCTGTGGCTAAACAGTTCAATATGTACAAACCTGAGATTTGTTTTGTTTTCTTCAGTAGGTAAAAGTTAAGATCGGTAATATGAGCACTGATATTAGAAATGAAACCCATAATTTAATAATGTTGCTGGTTGGGTGGACGGTGCTTACTGCATTTAGGGCGCTGAACCGAAGTAGATTGGGCTGGGTCAGTTTAAGTAGCCTCTAGAGAAGGTGCGCCGATCAGACTGTAAAGTAACTGATTCTAATCGGACTCCGCTCAAGGCTCGCAGATTGAAAAAATTGTAAAGCAGGAAGCTGGTGGAGAGAATGAGCAAGAAAATTAACTCTTCCAGTTCAGAAAACTTCACCTGTAATGGAGTACTTTCTGATGAGAGTGCTGTGAATCCCACGATGTCACTGAAGAAAACCGTCACCTCGTCAAAGTTTTCAGCTTCCACCGGTCGTCCACTCTTTAACTGATCAGCAACACTCCTTTTGAAATATATAAATTAATACCAAATAATTGGAAAGGACGATTCTCATTCTTTTGGTGTTTACGTCACTGTTTCTCTACATAGCACTAGCTGTATTCCGCATTGCATCCAAATAATATTATGATCTCCAGGTTATTCCTAATACCTTACATATTTTCCTTTTTACCTTTATTATAGTTCCCTGTTATTTCTATCCCGTTCCTCTTTCACTTTACAAACTTTGTTTCTTCTCACTATGATCAACGAAAACTTGTTCCCCACCCACTCCCACAATATGTACGAGTGTATAAATGACATGATTACTTTGGAAGCATGCTGTGAAGCAGTTCCTCTGTCCTCTTCTTTTCTTCAATCCACTGTTCCGTTCGTTTCTCCACAAGTTTTTCCAAATTGAGTGAGTGCTCTTCCAGCATGTAGATTATTTTATCCACGAGGTTATTCCTTGAAAAGGGCACAAGTACAAGTCAATAAGTTATGCACAAAGACAACGGTACCGTCCAAGATGCATAACTGGTTTGTAAAAATCTGAGCTAGGAAATTGCTAGTTGTATTTCTTATCCCCTTCGATGTGCATGCTAGTCCGTGACAGAGTATCCCCTCCAGAATAAATTCACCGGTACCCATACACACTTCTGGGTGGACGGAGGCATTATGAGAGTGAAGGGTCTTTTCCAAGANCTAAGTGCTAGTGTAGTAGATAAGTTAGTTGTAATCTTAGAACAATTTAATTTGTAAGTTAAAGTAACTTTTTTTGAAGTCGCGATTCTGACATTTTACCCTCGTGCATCTTAGTTGATAAAGCCTATTTACGTTTGTCCTTGCATTTAACACTTGCACTAATCAACTCTTCTTTTTGCTATCATGTTTACTTCTGTAGTAAAAACAAGGCTTTGATACCACCATGTTTTCAGTTACCACTTACTCGGTGAAGGTGTGGGACAAAGCTCGCCCATGAAGCCACACACAGGTCTGTGTGCTGGAGGAGATGTCCGTCGACCATCCTCAGACCAAGTGATATTAATCCCAGGGATAAGTTCAAGGATTTGGTTTGCATCTGTTTCATTTCGTTTAAATTGACCCACAGTCTTCATTTCTGTGGTTAACGAGAAAAAAATACTGTTGTACTGCTTAAACGGCAATTATCGGATAAAATTGAGTAGCGCATCGAGATTTGACAGTTAGTTTTGCCATTGTTTGGCAAAGATAGGAATACATTAACGACACTCGTTAATATTCAGGTAGTAAAACGTGTACCGTATGTGTGGCGATGTATCGAACTACAATACAAGAAAAAAAGCTGCAACAAAAATTTTCAAAAAAACAAGTGGTGGAAGGAATCAGCTTTGTTTCATAGAGATAACTGAAAAANCGACCCTCGTTGTGTGCATTGCGTAGTTTTACAGCAGTGTACATTTACCTATCCTACTCTGTCTGTGAGATAATTTTGTTATTTAGACCGCCTGGAGCCCACCTTCTTCTCATCCGAAATATCTCATTCCCAAGCACGTTGAGGTAAAGTTACCGCCGCAGTAGAACACGCCCAAGCCTACTGCAAAGTCGATAGAAGTAGCCTCGGTCCTAGATAAAATCACCTCTGTTCATACTTACTTTGTTCTGGGTCTCGTCGGGTCGTTTCCAAGGGAAGACCTTTGATTTCTCGATTACGCGCTCCTGGAACCTTTCGTACTTGGTGTAATTGTAAGGCCTGGGAACTAGGGTAAGTACCGAGTGCCAGGCTTTCTCAGCCTCGGTTTTGTCGACTTTACCACTGATCCCATACCACCAGTAGTCTAGACCCTGATCCTGGTGTATGTCAGAAATCGTACTTACAATGTACACGTAGTCACCATTTGTCATGCCTTGCCTTTTGGCAGCCACCATAAACGCAGGGGCATATTCTGGGTTTGTGGCAAGTATTACAACTGAAAAAAATTAAAGCATTGGCTTATTAAATATACCCTTCAATAAAGTTCCTTCCTTCTTCATTCATTGAGGGAAAGTCGTTCCTACGTGCTGCAACAGTCTAGGACAAAAACCCAACCATGTCTAAGTGAAAATCAGCTTAACACCTTGGGGAAATTGAAAATTCTGTCTTTGTCGCCACAGACGGCATTCAACGAATGGAATGAATTAAAAAATTAACTGTCAACTGTCAAAAAGGGTAATGTTCTCCCGGTAACTAGTTTTGGCTTAGTCGAACTTGTAGTCCGTTTTCACGTTTATAAATGCATCGAAACCCCGTTAATCCGGTCACCAACGGGCCACACAAATCTGGCCATTTTAACAGCGTGGCTATATTGAAGGGTTCTTTAGTAAGAAAATGGCTGACTGAACGTTTCCTCGGGTCAGAATAAAGTGGCCGCAATTACTTGATTAAACTTGCTTTCCTCATGTTCCATCGGCATCCTGGCCTCGTAGGAAACTTCAATCCCATTATCTTGAAAGAATGTCCTCATGTCCTCTTTCGTATTCTCCCATGGTTGTTGACCGAAACAGTTATCGCTATGGCAATAGACTATGGCTACTATTTTCCAAGAAAATTTCTTCAGCACTGCCAGGATGCTCTTGCTCAACTGAGAATTGGGTGGCCTGGTGCGTGCGAAGGTTGGATACAGCAGTTTGTTCGTGACGACGTCTTCGTCGCAAAACTAAAACAGACGACAGAATGTCAACGAAAGAGTTATTTATCTACGCATACAACAACTGGACGCATTCGATATAGTCTTCAATTGCACAGGCTGATAAGATGACTGCAATGTGTTTTGCAATTTCTTTTCGATACGATTAGAGGCGAAAAGAATGCGAAGGCCTTCAAAGCAAAGCGACTTCAACCACTGAGTCCGAACTTGAGGTTTCTTTGGTTTCGATGTTGTCCTACATCATATCAAATTGATTGAGTGGAGCTGAACTGTATTTTACAATGTCAAATGAAAATAATAAAATACTCACTTGCGAGAGAAAAATAGCATAGATTGTTGAAGTCTTGGCAGCCTACAGTCGTCAGTTTCTTTGAATATTAAAATAGACTGTCAAAGCAGGTATTTTCGGACGTGTATTAAAAGCTATTAATCTTTGCGAGACGTGCTTGATGAGATTCGAAAATTTTGTTTTTGATTTATTTAGACAAAAAATAGACAAGAAGACTGAAATCCTACGATGTGATATCTAGCTCAGGAACTCTTGTTTTCATGTGGCCACAAGTTAATAAAATGAAAGCAAAAAGAAAGCTTCACCATTTAGAATCGATATTGTTTTTATATACAACTCGAATTTCTGATCAGGTTTCATATTGGATACTAAAGCTGAGAAGTAGTCTTGGATGTCGATATTTTCGAGTCATCACCATTTCACAGTCCTGGACCAGAATTACAATTAAAGCAGTTGGAGTATTTTAGAATCCGTCTTGCAAACTTTGCGATGGGTCGAACGGATAATCCTCAGTGATTATATGGGATTCCAAACTGTTTTCCTTGTAGGCATGCCAGTTCGCTGTCATAATACACTTGTCACACAGTTACTTCGATGCAGGTGGTCCTAGTGATAAGCGACTCTGAAGGTTTTCTGTCTTCTTGACTTCAGTAAATAGTGAAACACCGACACTGAAGGAAGTGACACTGGAGATACTAATGATCTTGGAGGGAAAATGTTTTGCCTTGAAGTGGAATTTTACAAAAACTAGGTCGAAAGTTCTCAATCTGAGGTATACATACCATGGTCACGGCTAAACTAGGCTTGTTGCTTTTTGCTCGTTGTTTGACTGTGCATCGACCCTGAGATTGTCGGCTGAACAAACTTCCGCGTTTCGAGGATATTCGACGTGCTGTTTGAATTTTTGTCAATGAATCTCGCATGTTTAGGTTGACACGAATTTACCGTGCGATTCCTCGGTAAAAGAATTAAATCACACTAAAGATAAAAGGTTGCTAGACTGAGAAAATGGCTTGCATTAACGACCTCCGCCCTCCAAATGTCACTGTAGTTTTCTTTTGTTAAATACCCCCAAGGAAGACCCCAAAGTTAACCGGTTGATCAATAGCCATAAAGAAGATTCAGTTTAGGACAAGAAGATATCCCAATCTCCCCTTCCATAAAAACTATCCGACCTTCGAGACCTTGAGATATTAAAGCAATTTAACTCACGTAAGAGATCATCGGCACATTCCATGCAGCGACCACTCGAGCTGCTGTCGCACAATAACTTTGATTTCCTGGTCCGATGAAAGCGTGGACTCCGCGAGCCTGCTGCTCGGTCATGGCGGAGATTCCCACCAGCTCGCTGCATCGCGTATCATTCCAGTCGACCGACAGAGTGAATTCCAGCGAAGTGCTGTTGTTTACTGTCTCTGCAGCCACAAGAAAAGCTGCTGCGAACGGGAGGTCAACCGTAATTAAATGCTCGCAGGACGTGAAAGGGTAAAGCAGCACCACAAGCACCTCTCTCTTGTTCCTGTTTGGTTCGCTATTTGTCTGGATTGAAGTCAAGTGGAAAAGAAACAAGGCGTACAGGATGGTTCTAAGCAGCCATGTTGCCATGTTTGTAAATTTCTTTCATTTACCGACGCTCAACAAATATTTTCTAGCTGCTTTGTGCCCGCGTAGAAAATCCAACTGCGGACAAATCTTGTCATCCTACTGACAAGTTAACTTATGTATAGAAAGAAATCTATTCGAGCACTCGTCTAGCGTGATGTTTGCCATTGAGAACAGGTTATTTGAACGTGTAAATCTATTAGACATCTTAATTGAAATGAAGCTGGTTAATTTATAGTTACAAACAAGGACATTGTGAACCGTCGAACTTGAGCGAAATCCATTGGTCAAGAGGGTGCTCTGTCGACAGCCTGACAAGGGTTAATGCGTGACTATTTATTTACGGCTATATGCAAGACATATTTACCTTTAATTTTCTAATGCACTTTCAGCTGGAGACAAAATACCATTTAGCGAAAACTGACGCTAGAGACAAAATGCCATTAAGGGAAATTTTTATCGCAATACTCCGGCATAATAGCTGTGTGACATCGAACGTCCGGCTTGGTTCGAAAAGTCTACTTCAAGCAGACCAGTTCATTTCCAATCTCTAATCTCGCTCACTCGCTCGCCGTCTGGCAGCGGTTTTATGTTGCGGATCGCGAATAGATGGAAATGTCAAGGAGTGTATTTTGGTGAGCCTTTTTCTTTCATCAGTATGTAATACATTTAACTTGCTTTTTGTCAACCACTTGATTCAGAATGGTTATAAATAGCAGTTGGGTTGAGTGCGAATTAGGGTTCAACTTCCTGAGTTTGTATTCTAAGTATTGTTGAAATAATATTAAAACGAAATATGAATAAAACACAAAGAGCTGACATAATGGTAGTCTTGATAGCGCTTTCAACTTTATTTAAACGAGCAATCCTGATAATCCAGTTTATTAGAAGCCTCAGTTACATCGAAAGCTCTTCAGTCGACTGCTGCGGTCACGAGGACCGCGAGTAAATGCAAATGTCGCCAAGTTTGCTTTACTGTCACTTCCTTCTAGTCACCCAACCAATGAGAGTTCTTTGAACGAAGTTCTGAGTGATGAGTGTAACCATAGTTCGGTTCTTTAGCATAAAGCTGCCTTCACACTTACTTATTTTTCGCGCGTCGTAATTAATGACCTCTGACTGGTTCGCGGCAGTTAACACTGAAGGATATCGCCAAAGCATGCGAGAAAGCTGGTGTAGCCGATCTTGGCATGGAAAAATGAAACCTCTCGCAGAAGATCCCTTTAGGATCGCGATGATACTAAAATCCACTGGCAAAAATTAATGTCGCACAAGCGAATGACTAATTGAATGTGTACCTTAGTTTAAAGTTGCTGTTACAAGTAGAAAAACCTTAGCTTATTACGGATGCTGATTCATTACCTCTGTAAAATTTCGCGAAATTCAATGCCCTTCTTCATTTTGGCCGATATCGAGAAATTATAAAGTTTGCGCGAAGAGAGAAAGTGGAGCAAAAACTGAAAATCCGACTCTAGTCTGTCTCTGAGAGTTGATGATACAGTATAATATCCGAGTGGGATATGGCTTGTTAATTAACCCGTTGATTCCATTGCTTGGCTGTACTGCTGTGACTCACATTCAGTTTGATCGGATGTCAATTTTGTACAGCGTATGTTGCGGTTAAAGCTTTAGAAGTCCTGGAAGTCTGCCGCTTGGTTTTTTTCTTCGGTGATTTTGCCAAATGCTTCTTTCTTTCATATGTAATTTCTTTATGACTCATCCCCACAATTTTCATTTTGTTTGACAGCCATTCTTTGTCAAGGCACTCGAGCTATAGTGGTGGAGTGTCTCCTTAACGCGTATGAACCATTTCGTAAAGTCGTTCGTTTTATTATTACGTCTTCTGGCTTCTCAGTCTTGTCCCTCAGAGCACTGGTAAAAGGTTCTATTGTGTTTGGAGTAGTACATTATTGGAGAGAATATACAGAGCTGGAAAACTAATTGCACGACTGGAACTAACTCAAGGACTGTTTCTGATGATGTTTGACGTTAAAAGCCAACTGCTCACAGTCTGTGGTTCCCTTGGCACTATTGGTCAATCCATGCAAATAAAGATTCTTCACAAAGTAAAAAAGCTTTTAACCATCAGCACTTTTTCTAAACTGTCAAATTATAACTGACAGCAAGATGAATAATGCACGCAGGCCTTTTGCAAACGTATGTCTGACCGAATCGGACACTGTGCCACCCTTCTTATCAGCGTTTCTCACTGAGACTAAAGGTAAGATAAAATTTTCTTTGTTTATCTTGCAATTTTTGATTGCCTCTCCATATAACGCCAACTACTAGATAACTATAGCTAATTAACAGTCCTTTTTTGCATCGCGATTTCCTCCATCGATTTTTGTTTCCGCTTCAGTTTTCGCTCGGCAAATCAAGAGAAAACTAGGACAGCTGACAGCTCGCCGCAGTCTAACTATATATTATCGTTTGTTTACCATGTCTAATTTTGAGCTTAGTACAGTATAGTACAGTAGGTAGCGACTGACAGGAATAACATAATTGCTTCATTTATTTACATCACGCATACTAACGCCATAAATGATTCAACAGCCGAAAACCAAGCAAATTATTTACTCTCAGCAATAATATAAATCGTGGCGCGCATCATGCGACATGTCTTGCATTGCAAACTGAAAAATGGCAACAGTTGCTGCCGGTTTCTTGCTTTTGGTCATACCTCGTGACTTTTTCCCGAACTTCAAATGTGAATTGTCCTCACCAATTGCCATCAGTATTTAGACCTCTTTGCCCCTCGTGAGGCATAGGGCTTCCACCATAGCTCATCACCGAAGCCTGTTCTTTGCGATCTTCTCAGCCTCACCCCATGTCTTCCCAGTGTTATCCAGCTCCTTTGTCACCGTGCGTTCCCACGATTGTTTTGGTCTTCTCTGCTCCCTTTTACCTTGAGGGTTCTATGTCACGGCCATTCTAGTGGGGTTTGCTCTCTCCTTCCCCAAGATATGGCCAGTCTATTTCCATTTCCTTCGCATTATTGTGATTGCCACTTCTTCTTGTCCAGTCCTTGTCCAAAGTACTGATTGCCATACATTTCCTCAATTTTCAATTCTGAAAATTTGGAATGCATCCCGACAATATCCCCAAGTTGATTATCGTCAAAATTCTCGTCACCTCAGGTGACGTCTGCTGTTTGATTGGCTAGGATAAATCCCGGGGGGAGCGAGACTCCTATATAAAAGGGACGGGATTGCACCTTTTTGGGGTTAAAAAAAGTTGTTTTAGTACCTCAGGGTGTTCAGCCTCAAAACGTTCACAGCGGGAGCTTCTGTGGTACCTTTTAGGATATTGGGCTGAAAACAAATATAATTGGAGATATCTGAAAATCAACTGATTTTTGATTTTGTCCTAGAATTGGTATCATCTCTTAGGGGTGGAAAAATGTCAAGCCACGCCCGTAAAACAGGATCTTGGTACCTCTTAGGGGTTCTTTTCAGAATTTCCGACGAGCCCCCCCTCCCACCTTTGCCGTATTTTTTTTTTTAAAGGAAGTTCCCGGGAGGAGAAATGCATTTTTTTTTCTGTTTTTTCGGTAAAAATCGTGAGATATCACACCAACTGTAAAAATCTAAATAAGTTTTTCCGGGCGAGGCTGAATATTCTTATTTTTCTGTCGATTTTAGAATGAAAATATTCTTAGATTATATTTGGTATCTGGATGGTGTTAAAGTAATTTTGGGGCCAGCCTGAAGGATTTGAAGCCCGATATGACGCACATTACTGCTTTCAGAAATGTTATTAGTATGGAACATACGGCTAGAACTGTTACGTTGATCTTTGCCTAGTTTTTCCGTTTAGGGAAAGGAAGGATTTTATACGGTTTAGTTGGAAACATGATTGTGATGTATATACAGAACTATTCTATGTTCCAATGATTTTCATGAGGTACAGTACTGAAATGTTGCATTAAACGAATTCAAACCAAATTTATCCTCACAAAGCAAAAGGCCACACTGACACTGACAAACAAACGCACAAAAAAGGTACTTTAAGTTAAAAGATGATTGGGTTGTTCTTTCAGTTTTCTCGCTGGAAAAAGAAGGCCAAAATACAGCTAGGTTTCGTTTCAGCCTAAGGCAGAATATTGTGGTATGTAAGGGTTTATAAGGAGTTCGATTTCAATTTCCTCCGACCAACACAATTCTGGGTTATTATTGTCGGTAGGTCTTTTCATGCAGAGGTGTAAACAGGATTAAAGGTGGACAAAGACCGATTTGCTAAAACCCCTCGAGTTATATTTTAAAATCAATTTACAAATTCCAGTGGTAGGCCTCTCTTAGTACTGATTGGCTAAAAGCAGGTTTTTAATTTCTTTTAACTATAAAGTTCTCTTAAACATAACAATACAATTTAAATCTTAAAAGCATGAAAGTTACATGCCGACAGCTTCTAGAAAAAAAGGGACGTGGCTGTTGCTGTTGGTCGATCGGCGCGAGTGACTAACTCGTTTATTTTGAAACCTAATTGCCCCAAACGTTAAACACCGCTGTCTCGCGAGCTCTCATTAACGGCAACGAAAACTGCGTTGGACATGGCCGAGAGTTCCTGAGCGCTAATGGTTATCCAGGGGGAGGTGATATGAGTACGAGAAAGCGGGAACTCGAGGTAGCCAAGTCCAAGATAGGGGGCTAGTCTTAAACTGTATTTTTGCAAAGCTCGTTAGCTGGTTAACATTTTGAAATTGGTTTATCTTTCACCAGAGGTGCTATTAATAGCAAATTAATTAACTACCTAAAACATGGTTAAGACCAAAATTTCCGAGGCTTAAAGTTTTATTCAGCTGCTTTCTCGCACGTAAAGGGTTTTTAAGGATTTTTTTGTAGCACATGTATTAAAAAGTGGGTGTAAGAAATGTCGCTATCTGTCTGTTTCAGTAAAGGCTGGTTTCCATATGACTATGAACGCTGCGATCGCCGCGATGGCTACAGAAAAACGTTAAAAGAGCTCAATCACGGTATTTTGAGATATTGGAACCAAAAGGTCGAGACAGCAGAAGGCAAATCGTAATTTTTAAGAAGATTGCGACATTTTGTTCATTTATAAGACATGTTTCGATGTTATTAACATCATCGTCAGTTACAGAATATTTGAAAAACCGTTAGAACTATATAACAACTACATGCATGTTTCGCCTAGTTGTTATATAGTCCTAACGGTTTTTCAAATATTCTGTAACTGACGATGATGTTAGTAACATCAAAATATCTCTTATAAATTAAAAAAATGTCGTAATCTTCTTCAAAATTACGATTTTGAGTTACTTTGGCGACGTACAACCTTACCGTTAAATTGAAGGAAACCTCAAAACAATAGTTTCCTAAGACATAAAAACACCAAAGAGATGATATTAAACCTTGAAGGAACAAGAATGATCAAGGATGGAGGAGATTAATACGGATTACAAACGACGAACTTGAAAAGAATAGGCTAAACAGTTTTAAGATGCGCAAACAGCGAGGTAGCAAATGATCTATTGAGATCTACGATTGTCAAGATAAATCTTTAAAAGTCTATCTCATTTGTTTTCGCAATGATCTCAGTTACTAAAGCTGGAAAGTGGTTTCCTAACGATGGCAACGATTGCTGAACGTTATTGGAGCAATCGTACCTATGGAAACCAGCCTTAGATTTAGGGATTTTACAAAAAGGCGGTGCTGTAACCCTTCTCTAAAATTTAGGCAAACTTTAAAGTGTAAACCTGCGAGTGTACAACAGGGGCCACAAACCACGAACCGGTTTAAACCGGTTGAGTACGTGGCTTAATCAGTCCCCTGGTTTATTTTGAAGATTCTGAGATTTGCGCGAATCATTTAAAATGGAAATTTCTTATGAAGAACTTAATCTCTCTTCAGACGAGAGATTAATGAACTTCATCTGAATGTTATTTCTAAATTTAACAGTTTCTCTGGAANATATTTACCTTTAATTTTCTAATGCACTTTCAGCTGGAGACAAAATACCATTTAGCGAAAACTGACGCTAGAGACAAAATGCCATTAAGGGAAATTTTTATCGCAATACTCCGGCATAATAGCTGTGTGACATCGAACGTCCGGCTTGGTTCGAAAAGTCTACTTCAAGCAGACCAGTTCATTTCCAATCTCTAATCTCGCTCACTCGCTCGCCGTCTGGCAGCGGTTTTATGTTGCGGATCGCGAATAGATGGAAATGTCAAGGAGTGTATTTTGGTGAGCCTTTTTCTTTCATCAGTATGTAATACATTTAACTTGCTTTTTGTCAACCACTTGATTCAGAATGGTTATAAATAGCAGTTGGGTTGAGTGCGAATTAGGGTTCAACTTCCTGAGTTTGTATTCTAAGTATTGTTGAAATAATATTAAAACGAAATATGAATAAAACACAAAGAGCTGACATAATGGTAGTCTTGATAGCGCTTTCAACTTTA